AAACCCCTTTTTTTTTTTTTTTTTTTTTTTTTAGTAATTCTGATTCTCCGCTGACAGAAACTATCACACTCCAGGTTCTGTTAATCCACTTACCCAGCTTTAAGAGCCAGCCCTCTCTGTCCGGGTTGAAGAATGTGTGTGTCAGGTCGTTCCCGTCGTCCTCTGGGATTTTGAAGGGCTCATTTTTGATGCTGTCGTAAAGATTCTGCAGACGAGGCAGGAAAACTATTAATCAAACTGGGGGGAGCAGGGAGAACATGGCTCATTTGTGTTGAATACGAGTGGTGGAGGCATTATAGATTATCAATCATCATCTCTCGCACGCACGCACGCACACACACACACACACACACACACACACACACACACACACACACACCTATTACAAACTCTCACCCTGAGAAGCTCTTCTGGCAGATCGCCTCCTTCATTGATTCCCCTGTTCATGGAGATGAAACGCTCGACGGGGGGCTTGTCTCTGACGTTTGGATTGTGTAGACTGGTGTTCAACATGATGATAGCGAATGACAACACATAGCAGGTATCTGCAACAGGAGGAGACTCAATATGTTAGTTATAACCTCCTCCCATTAGTCTCTGACATCAAACAGTATTTTTTATTTTTCAAATTTAAACATCACTTTAAATTGATCAGTATCTAGTTGGTAATTTGTGACTTCCCCTTTCTCTGGGGTGTAAAACAACAACATTAGCTGCCTTTCAATTACAAATGTGTACAAATCCTTGTCAATATCCCACTAGTGTCGAAAAAACACGACTTCGCACTTACAGTCTCTCCGTTAAAAAAGAAACGCAGTTAAAAATCACAGGTAAATAAGCTTGTTCGCGCGATAAATCATTAAAAATATTCTGCCCCGCCCCTTTTTATGTCCCCGTCTCTAATGTTGCTGCCACAGCAGATGATGGCAAAAGAGATTATGCTCTGAACAACAGAGAGCGAAGGTCTGCAGCATCTTGTTGCAAAAGTAGAAGGATTTTAGCTTACTGAAAAAGTCCAATCTGCTCTATTCCTAGAGACTCTTCACTGTTGCGTCTCCAGTCCAGTCTGTTGTCCAGATGAACACTGAGGTATTTATATTCCTCAACCTCCTTCTCTTCTCCTCCCATGATGGAAATAGGGTTTGATCTAATCCTGCTCCTCCTGAAATCAACCATCATCTCTTTTGTTTCTTTTTCCACATTTAAGATGAGATGATTGCTCCCACACCATGACACAAAGCGCTCCACCAGATCTCTGTACTCAGCCTCCTGTCCATCTCTGATTCACCTGACAACTGCAGAGTCATCTGAGTGATTCTGTAGATGACAGAAGTTGGACTTGTGCTGGAAATCTGAAGTGTAGAGAGTGAAAAGGAATGATGAGAGTACAGAGCCCTGAGGTACTCCTGTGTTACTGACCACTCAGTCCTTCAGTCTCACAAACTGCGGTCTGTTAGTGAGGTAGTCATAGATCCAGGTGATTGTTGAGGCCTCCACTTGTCACAGAGCAGATCAGACTGAATTGTTTTAAATGCACAATTGTTGTCATACAGAATGGAGTAAGTCCCTGTTAGTCAACATAATAATGATACTTGACTACACTTTACTTCACCTCAGCATTGTTGCTAATTTTCAGCATCAGACGGCTGGCTTCAAACCGACAAGCACACTTTGGCAGACCCCTTTTAAATTTGTTCAGAAATGTTCTAGTTCATACTGCTCCAGTCCCATTGTGTCTCTCAGCTCCAAACCCTCCCACCCCCCACCTTTTGTAAAATAATAAAAAAAAACAACCTCTCTACTGAACACAGCACAGCAGGGGGACGTTTGTGAAAGAGGAATTTTCATGTTGTCCGACAGAGCAGGAGAAGACAGGCCACTTTCATGTGTTGGTGGTAATTAAAGACCCGCGATCATGTTGTTTTTATGAGCTCAGTACGTCGCATTGTCAGGGTTGGGGTCCCATGGTAACGCTCTGTCCCACATCCACTCTGACTCATTAAAATGTCCCTGTCGGTTTTGGGTTTTTTCCAGATGAGGCCTGGAATTAAACGTGCATTTAGTTCAATTAAATGTTTAATCAGGAAATTATGGAATGACAAAAAATACCTTATCAATATTTTTCTAATATTTCGTTACCTAATGACTGTGCATCTACGTCTCAGCGAATAAAGCGGCTCCGTTGTTTTTCACCAGGTCTCTAAAAGCCCTTTAAATATTCACTGCTAGATGTAGCTGCAGGCCTTTGTTTATCACAACAGCATGTATCACTCAGCCAGGTTGACTCTTCCTGAATAATGAATGACCCTTGTTTGTTGCTGTTGTTTACTGTGCAGCTGCAAATAAAGCGGCTAGCAAAAATATTCAAGCCGCTTGAAATTTCTCAGATTATTTTACACATCAGAACCATGAACTGCAGTGTATTTAAATGGGATTTTATGAGACGGGTCAACACAAACAAGTGGATACTGGTGAACAGAGAGTCAAAGGATGTGAGGCTTTGAATGTTCTTCTAAACCCTTACCCTAAAAAGTGTGGCACGCACTGGAATTTAGTCCTCCAGTCTGATATCCTGTCAGGTATCTCCCATACAGGAATGTTTTTGGAGGGTTTTTTTGTTTCAAAATTACGCCTGTCCACAAGAAACCATTTCTAGAAATTGCTTCACTCAACATCGAGAATAGCCCAAAACGCAGTGTTCTTTTTAGTTTTTTTTTTTTTTTTCACTCATCCAGACCTGTAAGTGGCGCTAAACATAGAGCATTGGATATGCACATCAAGCCTTCACATGAGGTTGGCACTAAACAGGACGAGAAGACAAAAATGGTGAACAACAAAGCATTCTGCGGTAGTCATGGACATTGGGTTTTTCGTTGTTATGTATGACACTTAAGACATGTTTGGGGTTATTGGTGAGTTCAGACGTTGGTCTGATACGTCAGTGTTTTAATGAAAAGAGGTGTTTTTGATGTTCACACATGCACACAAGAGCAAAATTTTCACTGGAACTTTTTTCTTTCTTTTTTTTTTTTTTTTTTTTAAACAAAATGTTTTGTGTCCAGTAAAAGAACACTAGCATGGCTATTGCATTCCTGTGCTATTCTACTTACACCTCAGTCTGGGATTTCTCCCATGGACAGTAGATTTTTGACCAGGCCAGTCAGAGAACAGAAGAAGTTGTGAGGGATGACATCCATTTTCTGCTGTTTTAGAACTGTAGTCTGCCTGCAGTTTTAGCGATGGCAGCGGAGGAAGTGAACAAAGATGTTCAGTCTGTGTTGGCCAAGCTTCCAAATATTGAATTAACATTAGCAGCCATCTTGTTCAGCTCTTCTCTTTTCGCTGTGGAGGACGGTTGTTTAGAAGTTGGGTAACGGCTGTTTTAAAAAAGGATCTGTCAAAAATGCGACAACAAATGACTTGCAGCTGTAACTGCGTTGAAAGGTGATGGATACAGCACTTCCTCTCACTTCAACTGTCTGATGCTGCTTTGTCTTGAATTAATAGTATGTTTTATTAAAAAAAAAAATCACATTCAAATATGTCACTAGTTGCTATTTTGTTGCACAGGTTGGACCAATGTGAACACAGAAAAGGCTAAAAACACACGTCTGTTTTCATCTCCCATGTTTCCTGGTACTTTCTCGGTCCTGCCGCTCCCCTCACCCTCAGTACTAACACTTGTCATGCTGGAGAAACACACGAAGAGCTACTGGAGCTCATCTGACAGCTTTGTGATGGAACACCTGAGAGAAGCATTCAGGAATCTGTAAGCGGCGATTCGTCTGACCTGTGGACTGGAAGACTCCAGGGTTGCACTGGCAGTAGCGCGAGGCAAACGCCTCCATCATGCGGTCGATCTTCTGGGCTTCACCTGGCAGACGGAAACTCCACAGGAACTGCCTGAATGGTGGAGAACGTGACAGGATGCGTTTAATATTAGACCTTCTCTTCTCTCTGAATATGAGGCAAGGGGGGCAGATCCGTCGTCTCACCGCAGCGCTTGGACGAGGTTCAGGTCGGCGAACTCATGCAGCTCCACAAAAGCCTGAAGCACCTTGATGTTGAAGTCGTCCCTAGTTTAGAAAAGAGAATTTACAGTTTGATTTTATGTAAAGATTCATCAATGTTTGATGATCAAGAGCTGCCTTTCCATTGCAAATGTGTGTAAATCTTTGTCTATGTTCTGCTAATGTGGAAAAACACAACACTCATAATCTATCAGCCAATCAGAGGAGACATCGGCGTCTTATTCAGGTGTTGGAGCAACAAGCCCTGCCTAGTTGGGAGCAGCTCCGTATGCAGCGTTTTTTGGAAATTACAGTAATTACATAACTTTTTATGATGTGTGTGATGCTGTGAGAGACTTGGTGGAGCCAGCTGGACATTGTCCAAAAACCCCCAAAATAAACCATCATCCTAATAATACTTCCTATCATCTTCCTTGTGGTTTCCACCAGTAGTAACATCCTGCTCTGGTCACGTGACTCGTGATGCAAAAAAATGTTTCCCTTCAGTTTTGTGAAATACATCTATTTTGATATGGCTGAAAAAACAGTTTTTGAGGCGATAGCGCAAAAACCTTTTGTCGAAAACATGAGGTATTTTTGTAATTACAATTTTATGGTTAATGGAAACACAGCTAATGTGAATGCAGGGTGAAACTCTTCCTTTGCATTCCAGTCGTTCTTGCATCCTGCTGGATCAGATGCTCCGTGGGTCTGGGCTGATTTGAAGGAGAAACGTTCAAAAAGCTCCGCTCTGCATTTCTTTCTCTGTCATTAGCTTGTCAAGGCAGCTCAGGGCTGTCAGAGGACAAGTTTACCTACTCTCTGATTATATTTATTGTATAAAATCCAGAGCATGTGAGTCTTTAAGCCAAACCAAAACCATTCTAATGTAGAGCCAACATGCGTCTGAACACAATAATAATCTCACATTTCAGTAACACTCTGTGCTGTATTCGGAGGCAGAGTGTGAACTTTCTGCTTATTGCCGGTTTGGATCTGTAAATGCAGCCATATTGGAGCAGATATTGCTTTTTGTCCGTCACACGTAAAGACGCCTGTCCTCCGAGAGTTTACACGCGTTTCCAGACGCCATTATTGTGAAGTAAGTTGAGAGAAGAAAGCTGTTTGTAAAGCTGAAAGTAAAATACAATAAAAATCAGAGCTCATTTGCACGACTCCCCATCTTCATCTTGGCCACTGCTCGGTGTGTAATGATAGGTTCCTGCTTCTTGTATTAGTTTAATTAGTGATAATTACTGAGTGCAGACCCTTTAGCTTGTGCTTCATGTGGCTTCGGTGGGTAGGTGGCCTCTTTGATGATTCTCGGCGAATAAAGCCTTCAGTAAATCATCTAAACAGATGCACAAGTGGTATGAGCTTTAACTGTTTGGTAAACGCACCAAAGAAGAACCGGAGTCGTTCCTGCAGCTCCATGCAGAACGATGCACACCTGAAATCATCACCGTCTTTGTTCTCTTGGTTTTGGGAGATAAAGATATAAAAAAAAAAAGAAAAAACCGAGGAAGCTTCTGTAGTCATTAGAGTCCACCTTCACACTTATCGGTTATCTGAGTCCCTAGTAAGTCGGCCGATAGCTTACATCCTGTTTATGTGAAGCTTTAATCGGCCAATAACGGTTTTAGGGCATTTCTCTTTAAAGCAGCATTATTATGTATTTTCAAGGCACAGAGTGACATTTTTATAGCACTATCAAGTAACTATGTTAACTTCAGTTGTTAAAAAAATGCTCTATATATTAAATATGCCTTAAAAGAAATTTGACTTTGAAAAGTAGCACCTTGAAATGGGGTCTTTGTCTCTTCAAGAATCTCTGCCTCCAGAAAGTCATCACAACATGGCTCCTCTATTAACCCTTTAACAACATTTTTATCAGCGTTGCTCAGAGAAATGGCTCCTACAATGAGCTCAGCAGATGTGCAGATCCACCAGCTGTTTGTTAATTATTGCTCGTTAGTGTTTTCAGAACAATATTTGTTAGAAATCAAAAATTGCTTTTCTAAGCAACAGAACAAACCTCAACCTTTTCAAAATTAATGTTTCTGTTTCTTACTGAGGTTGATTTAGTTTGAAAATAATCCCTTCATGCGTTTAAACATCTGCAACGTCGCTCTGCATCTGGGACTCATTTAAAATGCGCGACTCTTCTTTATGAATATGCAAATGAGCTCCTCCCCTTTCCAAACAGCTCGTCTGGTTGCAGCTGCTCACAGTCTTCTATTTTTGTTTGCCAAATATGTTTTATTTTGTTGGTGCTCTTTCCAAATCTACAGCAAATCAGATATTTGAGCCAAATGTTTGCGATTTTAATATTAAAGACAAAAATTACAGAGTAAATTTAGAGATTTTTCATTTAAAAACAAACCGTTTGTAAACGGATAGGAAATTTAATTGCATCTCTTATTTCATGGAAACACAACAATGGCAAAAGTGTGGGTTTTTTCCGACAGTAGCGGAGTATTGATAAAGTCTACGTACATTTATAATGGAGACACAGCTACAGTCATACAAGTTATCTGAAAAAAAAGTAATAAATGGTTCTTGTTGTCATTTTTATTGTTATCACAGTAAAGTATTGTGATTAAACTTTAAGCCCACATTGCCCACCCATACCAATACAATATTAACTGCTTTAACTTTATCTCATAAGCCTCATTCCTGTTAAACTTTTGACTTTTAGTATTTTTACAGTCAGGCCTGCGGTGTGAGGAGCTAGATGGTTGTTTTTCCTACCAGCCCTAAGTCCATGTGGGGAGCTTCATACAACAAAACACCCACACTGTCTCACAGCTTCATTTTTACGGCAGCTTTAGTCATCTTCTCCTTAATTAGTCAACACAGGCAGTGATCTTCTTTAAATCTCAACAGTGGGTGTAAATCTCATGCAAAGAGGATTTTCTCCCTCACCGCTCGCCCAAGTAGTCCCCGATGACGGTCTTGTTGAGGCCCTCGCCTTTGTAGAGGAACTGGGCGATGTCTTCCGGAGTGTTCTGGAGCAGGTCGTTCTCCAGCAAGAACTGGATTCCCTGCAGGAGAGAGACAGAGAGACAGAGAGACAGAGAGAGAGAGAGAGAGAGAGAGGACAAAAACACACGCACGTTCATCTCAGCCCCATGTGGAAACGACAGACTTCTTTCTTCTTCTTTATTTGTTTCAAACAAATCAATAAAAAAAGACACACGATATGTGATGTGTGTGTATGTGATACACACACATCATATACACACACAAAAAAATACTGTTTTGGAACATAAGAATCAGTCATTTTAGCTTCCATACTTGTCTGAAAAGGAGAAAAAATTTTATGTCTAACTTTTTTTATTTCTCACTCCTTTATGCTATTCATCAACATACTCTTATATCAAAATACATGTGACAGTATAGATTATATGAAAATCTTGCATTAAAAAAATCATAATTTTTTACTCTATTCCTCCTAATCCTCTAGGAATATCTTGTATTATTCTGCTGTTTCTGTATATCTTCCATAAAACTACAGTAATATGTATATTTTTGTAGCTTTTATTGAATCTATTTCTTCTTGTTTCTATTTGTTCTCACAGCTGAGTCAGTCTGAGCCTGGCGGTTCTGATGGAAACAGAACACCGAACCTTTTTGGGATCCATGTTGAATTTCTTCCTGCCCATGGCGATCTGCTTGTTCCTCTGGGACGTTTTGCTGCAACACACACACACACACCCACGCACACATGAGTATCATTTAAACCAAAGCAGACGTGAATATAACATTAAAATATGAACTATTTACTGGGACAATTCTATCTGGAAAAAAGAGGGGGAAATGACAAAGATTCTAATTATATTATTAGAACATAAATATTCTAATAATATTTATGTTGACTGAACAAAAACAAACAGAAATAAATGAAGATCATTTAGAACGTTGTTGTTAATGCTTCCTGTCAACAGCAGCTGTTATAGTTTATCTATGCAAAAGGCTACAGGATATGAATCCCATACAAAGACATATTTTTGACACATTTAGTTTTCCATATATATTTAAAGCTAAACACAGCTTAATAATTGATTTTACAAAAATAAATAAACAAATGTAAATAAGTGTATATAATTTTCAAATTGTTTTAGAATAAAAATCGGAATATTTCATCCTGTGTCGAGCTCGTTTGGCTGATGTTACATTTTTTAAATGTTTCTTGTTTCGTCTCTACCAGATTTCGATATTTAGAGGTGGAAAGTTTTGTCGTTCAAATTCTGTCAGATTGGATGAAAAGGTTCTGGAAACATCCACCGTTAGGTTTCACCTCTCTTTGGGGTTTAGGCCTGGACTTTAACTGGGCCATTCTGACACATGAATATGCATTGGTCTAAAAGCATTTCATGGCAGAACCTCCAGCTATGTTCCATCGACTCTGATCAGGTTCTGGCTAACGGAGCAGCATGATGCTGCCACCACCATCTTTAAACATGGAGGTTTATTCATTCATTTATTCATTTTCTGCCACACAAAAAACAAATGTATATGCTTTTCATTCAACTTCACAATTATATAACATAAATTTGACACGTATATCACCTAATCTCTATATGACATATTCAAGCGTATATTTTCATACTGAATAAACTTGTACATCCTGGTGAGCCTTGTTTTAAAAGTATGTTTTAAAAAAATAACTTTTAAGTTGATATTAAACTTATTAAATGTTTTACATGTATATTTTTATTGGTCTGATGTAATATTGTGATTTTAAATCTTGTGTTTTATTAACTGTTAGAAAAATCATCATGATAAAGAGAATTAAAGGTGTCAAACATCAGTTTCTGTCTAATTAATTTATAATGTGTTTCACTTGGTGATGGAGTTACTAAAATAAATGGATTTTTCTATAATATTCTGACTTATTGAACAGGTCTGTATATATAAACAGAAGCATTTTCCAACAAAGAGCCACTTTTGAACAACTTTACAGCCCAAAGAGAACATTTTTCAACCTTTTGCTTTGTAAACCAAATTTGTTGTAAAACTTACATGATCCTTTTTTGTTCTTATGAACACCTACTGTAGAAATTGCTGCGTACTTCACATATTTCACAGCTGGATTTCTACAAATATATACTGGGATACAGTTTTTTACTGGCAATTTAGACTAGAAAATATCTGAACAAATAAAACCTATGAAAACACAGAGAGGGTCTATCAAGAAGAGAAACCGTACACAGAAACTACTATAAGTGTAAAATACAAGTTAGCATAATATATCCAAGCAACTATAACCATGAACTATGACCTACCTTTCCCCGACACACGTCAGCTGTTCAATCTCTGTCATGACTTCTGCGATCTCAAATTTCAGCCTCTGGGAGAAAGAAAGCCAATCATTATCCAGAAGTTTTCTGTCTTTATGTCAAAACAGAGACCAGAGCAACGTTCAGCACTGAGGCACACATCAGGTAGAATGAGTAAACTGGCTGCGCAAAGATCGACAGTTGGGTTATTTGCATCGTCCACAGCATGCAAAAGACCCAGAGAGGTGGAGGAGAGACAATGAGCTGCTGATTCCCAGGAAATTTTAATTCAAATTCAATTCAAAAACACTTTCTTTATCATAAAGGGAAATTAAATGCTTTCTGAATACCTGGATAATATCAACCCTGCAGTGAAGATGAGTAATAAAGATAAATAAAAAAAAGGCAACTTGAAAAACTTCTCTCAATTGTATTTTTTTTACAGAGGAAACATGTTTATTTATCTATTTCACCAAAAATACAAAAGGAGGACAATATTAAGGTTTGTACACTCCAAGAAACTGCAGACATCAGTCTGTTAGAGGAGGTGATAAATGATAAAGGACATAAACAGAAAAACGTAAAACAGAAAGACTCTTTCCACAAACATTTTGTAACTTTTGGCACCATGAATCCAGATCACTGTGGATAGAGAAGGGAACAGAAGAACTGCTCCAATGACAAACTGCTGCATCCTGAAGGCACAAAGGAGCGTAATCACAGATCCTTCCTCCCAGCAGCTCATGGAACCATCTTTCCAACAAACTCAATCAGTTTGTTGTTGTTTTCTCATGCATAATTATACGAGCACAGTTTGTACATTCTTCTAATTTCCAGCTCATTAATCAGGAACATTCATTTCGGAATCTGAGTATGTTATTTTTAATAACCGTGCAGACTTTTTACTTACTTTCTGTTTTTATGTTTTTACCTTAGTGCAGATTTAGTTTTTATGCTATGCAACAACCCAACTTGAAGGAGTGCACAAATATCTGTGCTCAATTAAATTTGTGATTTCTTCTTTGCACACGCCAGTGAGAAATAATAAATGGAGGCCTGAGCAGCTAGTGCTGCGACTGATTCCTGAAAAAAAAAAAAAAAAAAAAAAAAAAAACGCACCTCGATGTCATCAAGCAGCTCCCTCTTCCTCCGCCGGATGCTGGACAGCTCATCCCTCTCCTCCAGAGACAGATCCTCAGGGACTGAACGACAGACAAGATGGAAAAAATACATCTAACTTTAACTTTCATTTAAGCAGCTCCCACATCTCTTTTCCGTTCTGTTCTTTCCTCATCTTGTGATAGCACGAAAGTAACCGAAATGCTCTCTCTTTTGCTGAGTCAAACGAGAAACAAAAAGTGATCAAGCAACAAAATGCACCAGAACAGCAGAAACTCTGTGAACTCAGTGAAAAGCTGCAGCTGTTCTTCCTCCTTCAGCTGGAAAGGCGAATATGAAGAGCCTGGACGTTCATCTTAATTAACTGCAGGAAGAGAGAAGGCGAAAACTCTTAATTATTCCAGCTGAAAAGCGTTTTGGCTCGTCCCTCCCCCCGTCTCCATTTGGCCCAGGGGAAATGGCGCTTAATAAAACTAATCCAGATTACGTGTTCTTTCATTAAATGTGAACTTGGCAGTTTACCACAGCCTACCACCCGCCGACCTCCGACCCCCACGCCCTGAGTGTTTGTCGCTCACAGCAAAAACAGGCGAGTGGAGAGGATGAATTTTCTTTTCTTAACCCAACTTGTTTGATTCGCCTCAGTTTGCCCCAGTGTTCTCCAAACAGGGACGGGAAAATTCATGAAGCTGCAGGAGCTAAAGGCTAAATATGAAAATTCACATTATAAAAATATTTAAACTCTTATATTGCAAAATTTTATAATTTTGCAATACAAAATTTAACATTTTAGTTTGTTACAATACAGAATTGTAAAAAAATATATATATTTTAATATAATTGAATTTGACAATCCACAAAATTATTATATGTAACAATTTTACAGTTTTATACATAAAATTGTTACATATAATCTGTATTATATCTGATGATATAACAATATATTAACATTAAAAATGTTTAATCTATATTTTCTCATGGATTAAATGGACCAATTTTCTAATCTAGTACATTTTTTACTTTGATCTTTAAGCATCACTTAAAGGTTTAGAAATTAATCAGACTAGAGAAACAAAAGAGATCTCTCTCTCTCTCTCTATATATATATATATATATATATATATATATATATATATATATATATATATATATTCCAAGATGACCTATATATTCTCTTGGATCACATCAACAGCTGATGTGTTTATGGCAAAAAAAAAAAAAAAAGAAAGAAAAAAAGGAACTATAACTTTCTGCAAAATACCAGATTACCATGCTGGACTTATTTAAGTCTGCATGTATTTAGAGCAATCTGCTCTGTGTGTGGCAAAAAGCAGATCCAGAAAAATGAAGGAGATTTCACTTCTTCATGAATTTATATCTGCTGACCTTTGGGAAATCCGAATTCAGTAGGAATCTCCACTAAACTCATGCCAGGAAGCATTCAGGTGAGCTAAGGGCTAGCCAGGTATTGCTGCACATGGCTGAACAAACAACACTGAAGAGGTTTCCCCACCCTGTTGTGTGGTGATGGTGAGCAGCAGGTACACAGGAGAGAGCGCTGTGGGGTTTCCTCTGTGGAGCCGGTTTCAGTAGACAGCAAAGGGGGATATGAGTGAACAATGGCCGACAGTAGCAAAACAAAGACGTTAATTAGCGCTGCTGACCCCCGGCTGCCTCTCTACTCTTACGCAACACTGCTGCGTGCGCTCAGAGTGGAGCTTTAAAGCCAATTAGAGCTTTGAGAAAGTTTCAAGGCTTTAACACAATTCTTTGATGTTGGACTTAAGGAATCGCTTCTAAACTTTTAGCCCACTGTTCTGTACTTACAGTTAAAGTAGAAAGAAACTTTCGTGGATTTGGCCTACGGGACTGAGACGCAGCTACAGTTAATTAGGCTAACAACATCTAAGTGGGCTGGAGACACTAGAGCAGTGCACAGCCCCGTTCTTCTTCTACTGTATCACAAGGCTTGTAGTAGCGAACGTCTACCAGAAACTTGTGGTTGTTTACAATTTCATCCTAAAACCTATAATATATGAATATAAAGAAACAGCGTTCTGAATATGTATTTTCTGACTTCCTGTTTCAGGAATCACTGTGATGATCACAGTAGGCTCAAGAAGCTACTTAAACTGGTACCCCTGTAACCTGACAATGAGTAGATAGATGGATCTGAGTGCTTCTTCAGAACACATTACTGATACTAAAAATGTCTAGTGATCATTAAATATGTAAGTATGATGCTCATTTAAAGCATGACGGTGTCAGGTAGTTCTTCGTAGGTCAGATGTCTGAGTCTATAACAGTGAAGGGTCAGGGCATCTACAGCTATATGAATCCAATCTCTCTGTGCAAACGCCTGACATATAAACAACTCCAATCTTGATTTATTACAAAATTAATAACAAAACTATTAATGTCAACCTGTTTACACATGTTAAAAGTCCAGGTTCCCCTTACTGCAATCACTTTAGTCTTTCAAATCCTACAAAGTATTAGAGAAGAGGCTGACTGACGTTTTTGTCCAGGTGTTTCCTTCTACATTGGGTCCACCAATTAAACTGTTAACACACTTAAACCCACTGAGTTTCTTTACATTGCAAATGTGTGCAAAACACTGTCAATATTCCACCAGTGTTGAAAAAACACAATTTTGCAATCGCTGTGTTTCCATTGAATAAGGAATGCAATTACAATCACATGATAAGTCATAAAAACACGCCACGCCATCATCTCCCTACCACTTCCTGTCGTTTTGTTCTTTGTAGTTTGCGCCAGTGGCAACATGCGGCTATTCATTATGTGACTTGTGTGATGCGAAAAAAAAAAAAAAAAAGTGTTTCCATTGCAGTTTTGCAAAATCAACAAAGAAAGAAGGAAAGAAAAAAAACACACCTCATCCCAGCAGCAGAACTTTTTTATGGAAAAACAAGATTTTGCTACCAACTACAAAGAAAACAAAGCCACACTTAAATAACCCATGAAAATTAAGTGGGATGTGAGCAATAGAAAAAAGCCCTCATTGGACTTTTGAGGGGTAAGAAATTCACAGAAGCTCCTGAGGGTTAGAAACTTCAAACCGCCCTCCCCAAGAACAAGAGCCTCCAGTAATTTTCCCCCCAAAAAACAAAATCCCTCAAAATCTACTTTGAAGACCTAATCCCCTGCTGCTCTTCACACCCAAAACTAACAACTGCTACTGACCACCCACTGGAGCCAGAGGCTTTACTGCATAAAATACCCTCAGTCACTTTAAACAACTCAGACCTCCATCTGGTCACACAAAAACCCAAATTTAGGTTGTTTGTTGGGTTCCAATTGCCAAGCTACGAAAAACTGATTTAGGGATTTCACTAAAACCGGCACAGAGTGAAAATCCCACGCTCACTTAACCCTGGCAGTCGTCCCATGTGGACTAAGAGGAGAATCATCCAGATTCACTGGCTTTAAGCTAGCAACTTTACCCTCTGTAATAATATTACAAGTGGATGAGCTTTAAGTAGACCAACAGGTAACCCTGTTACCCAGCTTGGCGTTGGAGCTCGCCAGGTCACGTGTGTGGAAGGCGAGGAAACCTCCGCTGGATCCAGATTCTAATCTGAGGCCCGCTGTCCCAAATCCCTCTGAGATATGCTCTGTGTGACGGCGCGGGTCGTTTGCACAGACAGTCCGACATGTGGCGGGACCGCACATGAGCTCAAAAGACACCACGGCCTGCTGGCACTAATCCCACACACCCTCACCCTCCCTGACACCGATTAAGCCCAATATGAGTGTGTTAAGGCGGAAGTTCAGCGCACAGATCCGTACAACCAGATGTTCTCTCTGCATGGCTGCAGTTCCACTTTAACCTATTTAACTTCAGTGATGCAAAGTAAAATAACAAAAAAATATCACGATTAGCAGCACAGAGTGAACTTAATAAAGTCACAAGCAATCAATGAATCACAGATCTTTAGCATCTAATATTAACTTCGGTTTCTGTGTACTTTTACAGTTAGTGGAGGCACTTGCATTAATCGTGAAGTTTCTAATCTAACACATAGAACTTGATGCCTACAATGGAAACACGGCACAGTTAATGCTGCGCCTAGCTTTGTTTTAAACTGATAATAGCTAACTCTGAGTCTTCTTTCCATACTAACAATTTCCATATTAACCGTGATTCCATCAGCGTTTTATTATGTGCTTTTTGAAGACAAGATTGATGGAAATGACAAAATTTTAAATGACTCCATCAATTTCGCAAAATGTTTTTACATTCACTCCAAGTGGTTTTTTGCTATTCTTAAAAAGTGTCGATGTGCTAAAGGGGAAATGGAAATATTTACCAAATAAGTTCTGAAGAAGCGAATGCCTCCGTCCACTGGTGGGTCTGTCCCTTAACAGAGGAACGAAACCCGGACAAAGTCCAAACTTCCAGCTCGGAGGGGAGGACTCGTTTTTTTTAAGATGTTTGGTCCATGATAGTTAGAAACCTCTACTTCCTGCTTATCACACAGCCTAGCAGAGTGTCAACAATTACACTTTGTGTACCCTGATTGATTCGCTCCACACCAGTAGATAGAAATACAATTGGCTTGCATTTTCTTGTTTTGTTTTCCTTATATTCACATTTTAAAAGTTCATTTAAAATTCAGATTACAGTAGATGGATACAGAGCCAGAGAAGAGTCTTCTTGTTCATGCAAACCGTCAGAGTTTTGCGTTGGGCAAAGTTGTTGCCTAAATAATAGACTTATCAACGTGCCCTCCCTCTTTACAATATCAGAAAAATACTTTTAACAACTAGCAAAAAATACGTCTTGATTTTTACATTTTAAAAGCAGCAAATACGTGACTGAACCGTCTTTACTTCCTGCATACATGCCAGATGAGATTCAGCTGTACCTTCACACCATACACAGTTTCAGCCTACATACGGTGATAACGTTCCATCCTACATTATCACAGTATGTTTGTGTTGCAGATTGTCCATCAATGCTTCAATATAAAATCCCAAGCCTTTGCGTGACTGAAGAGATTTGGGGAGCTATTGTGACCTTTAGCTGTTAACCAACTCTGGGGATACAGGCAGAATCTGG